CGTTAAAAAGAAGAAAATGATGTATATATATGGATATAGCGCTGAAGTTATATCTTTAACGCTACATGCCTGCAGATGAACCAAACGAATAATATTAATCAATCTTGTGAAAAAAATATACGATGATTTAAAGAGAAGTTGATATATTAACAACAGAGAAATAAATTACCCATAACTTATAATTCATGTTCGTATTTGGTTGGTTTCGTATTTTTTATCACCATATGATGTATTTTACGTGTTTATTTATGCCTATATTAATATTTTTTGTCTTCAGCCTCATAAATATGTAAATTGCTTTGCATGTTCATATAACAATGTCTTAAAACAAAATGTGTTTTTACATCTACATGAATCTGGTCGTTTATACATTCGACTCACATGACATGGCAATGAATAAATAAATAGAAAAAAAAATAATAACACGTAAAAAGTAAGTTATGTATGCGTTAAAAAGTAGATTATATATAAATGGATATTGCGTTGAAATTATCTCTTTGAAGCTACATGCCTGCAGATGAACCAAATGATTTAAAGAAAATTAAAAAAAAATAACACGTAAAAGTAAGTCATGTATGCGTAAAAAAGTAGAATATGTAAATATATATATATATACATCATAAATCAACGCTAAACTGTTAGTCTTCTCGAATTATCGTGCTTTCGAAACAACAATTTATAACTAACGAGTAAAAGTGTCGCAGGAGCGATAAACTTCACCAACGAATCATTTTCGTCTAAAAATATTCGCCATCTTATGTCACCGTTCACCATTTTCAGCTTTAAATCGATATAGCTCAAATAAATTCCAAAATCTAATATAAACTTAACACAACTTTATTTTTAGAACGAAGAATGGTGAATGATGACCATAGAAAAATCCACCGTTTTTTATACAAAAAACTGCCGAAAGCTTTGAAAAATTACAGGAAGCCATTTCCATTAACTTTGCAAACATTAGTTAACAACAAATCACCTTTTTATTATTTGTATTTGTGAAAAAAGATATCACCCTGGCCTCCTTGTTTGTATTATGTAATTATGAAATATAAAAATACTATGTTAAAAATATATTTATGTTTATGCTCCTCCTCCTCCTCATCATCATTGAATATAAATTTTTGAATATTTAGTTATTATTACCAATACTATGCTCCCAATTGTCTGTTCTCAAACACCCTTGCCGTCCAGACTCCGATTTGTATGTCAGTTGCATTTGAGTGTTGGTTAATTTTGACAAATGTTTAATCTTAAAATAAACAAAGATAATCTTTAAAAAGAAACATTCATTTTAGGTCGGCCAAAACAATAAATGCTTCAATTTTATAAAGAAATGGTTGCTTCTATAGAAAGTTCAAAGGCAGATTCAAATTACATTTCCAATGGTATAAAACTTTTCTTATCATTTTTCTTTATAATTTTAAGGCATAATATATGTTGTTAAAGCCTTTTTAATTATGTATTGTAATTCAACAAATGTAATAAGAAAACAGAATAATCTTCTTAACAATAATTTTGTTTACCTTTTGTTGAATAGTTTTTAACCGTTTACTCAATGTATTTGATCGTGCACAGCTGTCCTCCAGATAATTTGTTGTCTCTATTTTTCCGGTATGATGATGTTTTGCTCGACATTCCTGCCCCACCTTATTTTTTCCTGGGTTGAGAGTTTTTCCCCTTAAAATTGTTAACAAAGTTTGTAAATGATAAACGTATTTTTTATAGATAAATTAAAGACGTTTTCGGTAGTTTTCTGTGCGCATCGTTATGCGCATCCAAGAAAGATAATCACGGATAATTACTCTTCAAATGAAGGTAAAGTTGAATAGTATTCGGATAAGTGTTTAAATTTCGGCTATAAGCAAATAATGAGTAAATAATACAGAATAGATATTTCTAAATGTTCAAAAGGAGATTGGTTCAAAAGAATAAGAATGTCGTTTAGACAACATCACATAAAGTATTCCTCCAAGCATTAGTACGACAGCATTGATGATAATTCTGCGCGCGTTACCCCACCCACTTGTGGTATAGTGACAAAAGTGCGTCGCGACTTGATTACTGGCAGACAACTGGGCAAAGAAGTTTAAAATGATATATTTTGAAAGTGTTGAATAAAAAAACAAAATTAATATCCAAGAAATGTTCAGAATTTCATTATTTTCTTTGTAAATTTCTGAATACTTGCTTACTGTTCGGGTATGTTAGTCGAGTGAAAAAAATAGTATTTTTAAAAAAAATATTCAGTATCATTTACTTAATATAACATCAAAATAAAAAGAAATTCTTTTTACAACATGTTTTATATTTGACAATACATTTGGTATAACACTGATATTTCTTAAGAAAGCGTGGTAATTTTGACAGTTGGCATATGCGGTAACCATGGAAACTGCCCGTTTACAAAAAAACTAACACTTCAACATATATATTTTATTTCTATTTTTGAATCCACAATCAAATGTTACTTGATATATCAATAATGTAGAAAATTCTATAAAAGAAATTTCTTGATAGCTTTAATTTTTTACAGAAAATTTTCATGTTTATTTTTCTCATTTTTTGTTTAGTTAAAAAAGATGAAAACTCATTTTTGTAAAGAAATATGTCCAAATTATCGTTTGTTTTTATACAGAACCCTAAGATAAAGCAAGCTTTGTATAAAATTATGTTTATTGTGAGTGTAATAAGCTATTTTATACATTATTATAATACAGTTTGGATATTTTGACAATTTTGAGATATACGGTTACAATGGAAACTGCAATTTTTCAAAAAATCCAACAGGCCAACATATATTTTTCTTTTTCTTTTTGAATTTGTCATTAAATTTTACACAATATACAAAAAAATAGAAGATTCTATGAAACACTTTTTTCAATATCGCTAATTATTCTGAGAATTCATGTTCATTTTTCTCATTTTTTGTTCGGTTGAGGAACATGGAAAACTAATTTTTTGAAGAAATATGTTCAGATTATCATTTTTTTTCATACAGAATCATTAGATAAGGTTATCTTTGCATACAACAATGCTCGTTGTGTGTTTTAAGCTATCTTATACATTTTCTATTCGTTATAGCACAGTTAGGCTATTTTGACAGTTTTTAGATATACGGTTACCATGGAAACTGCCACGTCAACACGTCAACATATATTTTTATTTTTATTTTTAAATTCGTCATTAAATTTTACTCATCATACAAAAAATTTAGAAAATTCTATGAAAGGATTATTTTTTCATAAAACTGTAGAAAATGTCTTTAATACTCTACATACATGATTTACATAAAAAAGAAAACAATACTGTTGTGTTTGTTTGAATCAAAATGCTATTGTTATAGGAAAATGCAATTCTATATAATGTAAAATAAATGAAGCAAATACAAAGAATTAAATATTTCAGATGACAGTAGTGAGGACGATAATTCTTAACGATGTAACCAAAGGAAGAAGGTATACCATATTTCACAACCTACCATTATGGACACCTCGGTATATAAGCTGCACGAAATTCACGTGTAGTAGTAGTCAATTTTTAAAATACCGAATTGCTATTTGGCGAAAAATTGTGTAACAAGTATCCTCAGAAAACATGAATTTAAAATTTGGAAATTATTTTTGACACACACTGTACGTTTGTTACTATTTTTAGACGGCTTCAGATGCTGATTATGATTACAACAATATTTTGATAAAATAATTCGGTCGGTCTTTTTCATTCACTTCCGGGGCGGCTCCAGTGAAATTTCAAGTTACGAAACGAAGAAATAAGAGTTACTTACATGCAGGTGACGTTTTAAAAAGATAAATTTACATATTCTCCCAACATTATATGTGTGGGCGCAGCATGTCGGAGGCTGCTTGTGTTTATCAATGTCACGTATCGAAGTGTTAGGCAACATGGAGTAGTTTAGGTATACTTCGGATATGCGCTTTCGGATAGTCGTTTTTTTCAAAGGACATTTGACACTTTCTTTTGTTCTTTTTATAGCCCGAACGGGCTATTATAGCTCAAACGAGCTATATAGCTCGATCGGGAATATTCCCCGGCCTGTTTAATACTAAATTTATTAAACGAGGTGAATAAAATCATATTATATGAGCCTAAGGCGAGCATAATATTGTTTTATTCAACTCGTTTAATAAATTTAGTATTGAATCTACACGAATATAATATAAAATTCTATTTATCACATATATAAAATTAGAACAGTAAACTGTTAAAATGAGTAATTTTTCAATTTTTACAATGTCGTGGCAACGAGTAACTAAGTCGTGGCCACGAGATAGCTAACTCGTGGACACGAGATACTATGTCGTGGCAACGAGTTACTAAGTCGTGGCCACGAGTTTCTTAGTAGTAGACACGATATAGCTAACTCGTGGCCACGATATACTATGTCGTGGCCATGAGTTACTAAGTCGTGGCCACGAGTTACTAAGTCTTGGCCACGAGTTAATAAGTCGTGGCCACAAGATGGCTAACTCGTGGCCACGAGATACTATGTCGTGGCCACGAGTTACTAAGTCGTGGCTACGAGATATCTAAATCGTGGCTACGAGATACAATGTCGTGGGCACGAGTTACTAAGTCGTGGCCACGATTTACTAAGTCGTGGCCACGAGTTTCTTAGTAGTGGACACGATATAGCTAACATTTGTTTTTACCAAAAGTATAGTTCAATTTTTAATTCCTACACAAGCATTTTGAAAATTTTTGATCTACAACAGGGGCCGTATTCATAAAGAATCTTAAGTTTTAAGGGAAGAAAATCCTTAAGTCCAATAATTTCCCTAAGGTAAAAATTTCCTTAGATATTTCCCTTAAATATCACCTAAGGTGTTTTCTTAGGTAAGAAAAATCTTAAGGGAAAAAAATCCTTAAGTCAAAAATTTCGTTTAAATTTCATCGGTCTTTCCGTGTTAACCGACTGCCAGAGAAAATCCAAGATGGCGGACACTGACTTTGGAAATTGAGTCAGGGAATTGATTGAAAGGATTTATTAGCGGATATGTTACGGATTTTACAGCGGTATTTCAGGAAATGGAGGTTCAACACTAGTGACATGGTTTGGGGCATATGTTCGAGGATCTTATGCTTCAAAAACATGTCGTTTTTGTTGACTTCACATGTTCAACGATTTTTCGGAATTTCCCTCGGCTAAAAATAGAAATGTCAAATTTGACAGCAGACGGTATCATGGAAGGGATCATGGACTCCAAGAAACAAAGGGCGCAGAATTTTTCCGAACAGGATTGCGTTTTGCTGGCTCATTTAATGGGAGAAACTGTTGAGAGCTTTGGTATCAGTAGATACCGAGTTCTGAAACACAAATTCAATGACAGTAAGGATTATTTTTGTATGTAAATATCAATAATAGATCTATATCAACTGGATAAAATTTCTAAAAATCATGTCTTGTTGTTTTGGCTCTGCTTAATGAATTATAACTTGTAGTCTGTCAGTATCCCGAAACAACCAATTTTCAATCACAACCTAAATTCAAACACATTCTTAATTCTGTGGCACGGATGTCATGCCTGACTAAATTGCACAAAGTCACATGTTGTATTAACTTCAAAACTTGCAGAAATGCCACACTTGATTAATTGTCAGATGTTTTCAGAAAAACAATAAGAAACTGTTTGTTTTAAGTGACACAATATAAATTGTCCAACTTTCACTATATCAATATAGTCACTTGTTTAAAATAGTGGTAAAATTTTTTCTTAGCAAGTTAATTTTTTATAAAGTATTGGCAAAAGAGTTTTACCATTTACCTCAGTCAAAGGTGTATTTAAAACATTTATTTATATGATGAATCACTAAATATTCATCAGACTTTACACAGGGGTCCTTATTAATAAAATCTTATATTGTTATCAAATTTTTTCATGTGATGATTGTAGAATAATTGTAGAATAATTGTTTTGTTAGCGATACCAGCTGGCAGATCTAGACAAGTTTCCATATTTGCTAATATTTTAAAGTGGGGAAGGTAAAATGGCTGTAAAGATTTGATGCATTTATCATTTTGCACCCCAAATAGCGTACTAAGAAGTGACACCTTTAACTGCCTTTTTAAACACATTAACAGTAGTCATACCAATGCATTGTGCTGTACATATGTTATAACATTTAGTGTAAGTTTTTTAAATTCTTGAAAAAACTGTTGAAAATTGTTGAATAGACTATTGTGAAGTTTTCTACAATTTTTAGTGGCCCTGATTTATCTTTAACAAATTTTCCATGGTGATTACCCTGCTGTTTGAATTTAGGTTAAAATATTCCTGGGAGTAACCAGATTGGGTCATATTGTTTTTATTGAATTTCTAAGAAAGATCAAGACTTGTTGAAAATGTACCAACCTGAAAATGAATAAGTGTCAATAGATGCATTAATAGCTAAAATAAATTTAAAGTATAATTTCCCCTTCCATTTATTATTGGCTAAAAACAGCTTAACTGATTGAATATTGGTTGTCCCGGGATACGTGATGATGATATGTATATGAACAATATTTGATAAATTCTAAAGTAGTGTTGATGAGCACCTTGATAAGTCCAATATAATATCAGTGGTTATACAAGCTTTTATAGTTTTTCGGTCAAGCCCAGGAGCCCAAATATCTCTAATCTATGTCAAATTTATAGGACTACACCTTGATTAATCAACAACAATAAAACTTATAATGGTGTTTTGTTTAGCTGTAACTGTAACGGTGACATACACTGGTCGGGACCATCAATCAGACACTTTGAACATTCTTCCATGTGCAAATTTCTGAATTTCAAAGCTAAAGATCTAAATATTTGACATAGTACAGTTTGGTTAACTAATGAAGAAGTTTGTTTATATCTGAGTATGATGACACTCAATTTGAGTCCTGTCGAGGAGGGTATAAAAATGGTCCACATTGCAGTACCATGTATCCGGACATATATTACATGGCGTTGATCTAATCCAGATAAAAGCTATGGTGTTAAATGTTTTTATTTTTAACACGATATACAATATTTCAGTAGCAAATACTGAAGTTTTGGATAATTTATTCAAAATTTATTGTTTACACTGCAAATGGTTATGGTCAAGTAATGCACTATTCCAAATTTTCAAAGCAAAAACAGTCTTTGAATAGACATTTAAGTATTAACATTTGCATAAATTAAAATTAATTTAATTGCAAAATTATAGAAGAAACATGCATTTATTGTTGATAAAAAGGCGGGCTGACTGATTGACAACCACTACACAAAGATGAAAACTGAATAGGGCACTTTTGGGGCTGTCTGGGTTTGATGGTTGTCAGGTTTTGATAGTCCCGGACCGTTACCCTCAATATTCAATACATGCATTAACACTTTTCATAATGTTCAATGTAAAAATTCTATTAATAAAAAGTCTGTATGTAAATCAATAAAAGTGTAAAACTAATTCTCAAAAGATAATACCGTTCTTTATTTGTTGATCTTTTCACAAACTTCAATAAAGTATAAATTTGCCTTTGAAACTGTCAATGTGTTAATTACACTAATTTTCAGTATTGAAAATATTACTTTTCACAAATAACAGAAAAATAGAAGGGTTGAAACTTTGAAGGCAAATAAAAAGTGAAAACATTTCTTAAATATAACAAAATGACAACAGGTTATATACTTATCCCATGTATGTATTTGAAATTATATACATATAACATTTATTCATATGTCACAGGAATAACAAGTGTTACAAAAAAAGAAATATGGTCTGCTATAGAGAAGGACTTCAACTCAAATGCTACCACATGTGTTCGCAGTAAACAGGATCTTTCAAAAAAATGGGAGAATCTCACTGCCAAACACAGGGCTATCTATTCAGATTATCTGAGAAAAAGAAGTCAGACAGGTACAATTTTAAAACACTTATTTTATGACTATATGCATGTATGTCTCTATGTATGGTTTACAATTATGACCAAATCATTTAATTCAGAAATTGCACAAAATATGTAATGTTTTCATGTCTCGGTTCACCTAACTAAATTCTGTATTTAAGTATTACAGTCACTAATATTATCAATATTACATAAATTTTGTGAATCAATTTATTAGTTCTATTTGTAAAGATTTTAAATATAAGAAGCCTAATTTATCTTACATATTGATAAACTTTATAACAAAGCAGTTTATGATAAATTGACTGAAAAAATAGTAGCTAAAATTTAAAAAAAAACTAGATACAATCCTTAAGACATCTAACATGTTTAAGGTGGAAGTGAAACACCAAAGTACACACTGCTGACAGAAGCAATAATGGATGTCATAGGAAAGGACAGCATCAATGTCACAGGGGTGGTTGATGAATCATTTGATTCAACCTACTTTCAACTTTCAAAGTGAGTTGTATATTTCTTTGATAAACTATACATAGCTTTGTTTCAAACTTATATAAAAAACATTCAACACTTATGTTTCAATAAAGCTAGACTATTTGATTTCTCATAAACTTCCAATTACATTTTAACTTTTCCACTAAATATTTCAATACAGCATTTTCCTTCAGGTTCAACCTAATAAATCTACATATTAACAAGTTAGTCACTTAACATGTTAATCAGCATTTTTATGATAGTTTGCATAAAATCAGCCAAAAAGTTAACATTAATGTTAAAGAAGTCCCAATATTAGTGTGAGGTTACCATTCTAACACTTGACAATTTTAAGCTTTAAAAAACAAACAACATCTATATTATTTTTAAACAGGTGTTCAGATGAGACTACAAATTCAGTTATACAGTGTAGTGTGTCACATCATTCAGATGAAAGCATCCCCAGGTGTGTATAAAAAATGAATTTGACAAAATGAGTAACATAAATGCAAATATAAGTATTAACTATTATAGTGTCTCAAAATACCATATTTGGTTACTTTGACCTGATTACCACACATTTTTAAACAAATATGTTGAGTTATATAATCATAGTACTCCAATCCTTGTGTACACTTTATTTTAAACAGGTATACAATATGCAAAATAGCTTAATTATATTGCATGATATATTTTTTCAAAGAAATTAAATATAAGTACATTTGTATTTTTTTAATTTTGACAGACATGAATCCTCAACCACAAGTAAGAGGAAAAACACAGAGACAAAATGGTAAACTTTAGCACTATAAATAAAAGATGTTAAACAAAAAGATTCTTCTAATTTGTAAGTGATTAATTAACGAAATTAATGATATTATTAAACAACATGAATAGAGATAAATCAAAACTAATAGTAACTGAAGTGGTCTTCTGTCTGTCCATTCTTTTTTATATTTAAGTGAAAATGTTGCATGATAAGATCCAAATTTCAAAAGCATTAAATTAATGTTTTTATTAGATTTTCAAGAAAGGTGATCTAAAAATGTTTTCTGTATTAAGTACAAGTTTTTTCTTCATAATTTCAGTTGCTGTCACTGTGACCCAGAACTTCTTGAGTTAAAGAAGAAGAAGCTTAGACTGCAAATTAAATACTATGAATCACTTTTTAGCAAAGAACAATAGTGCATTCTACATGTAAAGCACTGTATACAGCCCCTTATTAGATATTTGAAATTTATATGGTTAAACAATAAACTTAGATTATTAAAAACACTTCCTGAAAATTAAGATATTCATCTTGTCATAGATCTAGGTCTGCTTTAACTTTATAAGAAGAATAGTCTAACTAATGTATTATATTCTCATATAAAAAGGAAGACAATTTCTGCATAGGTTTGCACTGAGAAACATTATTTGTATGTTGATAATATGTTTGGAAAATCTTACCCAGTCAATTTGCAAGGTTGATATTGGAAGCCTAATGCAGAATATCCTTTCTGAAGAGTATTCATTTTCAATGAGGACACAAGTTTCAACAAGGCGTGGGTTCAAATCCAAGGCAAGGCAATTTTTTTCTGATACACTAGTTATACTTCAATTGTCAAATTTGTTCCAAACAAGATGATAAACTACTGTATTTTCTTGTAATTATATCCAGAATATAGTACAATTCATTAATATAAATATTAAATATAGAATATTATTGTGGAAAATTTACAAAATTGATGCTAGTCAGGGGCTGTATACATTAAGATAACAAAATGTTATACTTTTTTATTACTTATATAAAACATAGAAACATATTTATTATTTCTATATATGTTCATATGAATGGACTTTTTAATGGCTAAACTTCTGTATATATCAAGTTTTATTAGAAATATTGATTAGCTATTGCATCTCTGTATCGTAAGCCTTCTTGTGGGCCATGAAATGCTTGGTCTCCTTGATCAGTAGTAGTGGCTGGCACTTCATCCAATAACCGAATGTTCATTGATCGGCATACATTATGTAGAATTCCACAAACCGTTATTACTCTGAAAATTTAATGTAAAACACCATATAAGATTATGTTCTTACGAATATCAAATGTATGTTAAATTTAATATTCGGGAAAAAAAAGCATTTCATGTGAATCAAGATACAACATTTCTTAGCTCGGGACCTGAATGTATATCAGACTCAAATATAGTAGACTTTGACCTTGAATGTCAAATTATTTTATTTTCACTGATTATTGCTATAATTGGCTGTACTTTGCAATCAATCAATGGATTTTTTCATACTTGGACAAAACAACCTTTATAAGGAGAAATTTTTATAAGATGAAATGACCTTGACGGTCAAAGTAGGTCAATTAATTTATCTACACTGTAAAAGTATTGAATTTTGGTTAAGTTGTCATAACAGTGTTAATTATGTACTGATCTGATTCATAAGTGGACATAACAACACTTGTGTGACATAAAATATTGTGCTTTAAATGACAATGACCATCAAATAATTGAATTTTTGATATTTATCTTTTCTTTGTAATTTTTTATGGAAAAGTTTTAAGTTTTATTGAATATATATCCCAGTTTGCATATTTACAATTCCCAGTTTGCAATTACAAAACATGAGACAAATAATGACAATAAACACTCATGTGAACATTTGTGGGCAACACCATATGAATATGTTATATGTAAAGATATTTTTAACTTAGGCATATCAGTAATGACCTAATGTAATACAAAGTGAGAGAGAAAAAATCTATAACAATAACAATTTAATCTGTCGAAATGCATAATGAGTAGCTGTGTCTGCTTGATTATTATTGTTTGCTATTTAATGTATTTTTGTCAATAATCTAATTGATATGACTTCATAAAACACAGATAGTATACCACAAAGCAACAAGTATGTTTCTATAACTTTTCAATAGTACAAATTTTAGACTTACTTGCACACTTGGATTGGGTTGAGTCTAACTTCTCCATGTAAAACTCCCCATCTTCTCTTTAGTATACCTATCCCTCTTTCCACCAATGTGCGAGTCTTTTTGTGTGCTCTTTAGAAATAGAAATTCATTTTTAGTATACATTATTTCAAATGTATTTTAAGAGTTTTATATTTACACTTTAATTTAAATTATTGGAAATGGAATTAAGAGTTTACACTTGAGGTTAATGAAATTTTTTCTTTAAAAATGCTATCATTTAAAAACAGCAATGTTAAATGTATTTAATTGTATTCACTTTTAATTGTTGAAGATTTAATTTTTAAATTTCCATTTAAATATACATGCCTATTGTACATCAACTGTGCTCCAGGTTGGGGGGGCTAGATATGGGGTCAAAAGCCAGCGTTTGCAAGGATAGCCACTATCTCCTAACAAATAATTGTTTCCTGGCAAAGAGTTTCCATCTAGAAAGTTGTAGAGACCACTTTCTCTTAACATCCTGCTATCATGTGTAGCTCCAGGCCATCTAGCTACCAAATCAATTATTTTATAGTTGGCATCAAATACAATCTAAAAATAAGAAAATTGCAATATTATTTATTGCCTTATGTTTAAATTGTACTCAAGTTTAAATATTTTAAATACATGTAATAGAAAATAACCTCACATTATTTGTGTACTGATTAAAACAGACTAAGTGTCAATAAGATTTAATGAAAATTGGATCAGAAATTGAAAAAGTTATAGGTTCAATGGACAGATTGAAGGACAGACAAACAGACATATATCTTGGTTGTTGTGATAAACTATCAATGATCGCTTTAATGAAACATTCAAAATCCATTGTAATGAAATATATAGTTTGCAGTTCCAACATTATTGATTTTTAGATAATTGTGATTGTGTTATTCTAATACTGTCTTTTATTAACCAAAAGAACACAAAAATTCATTTCTTACTTGAGTATTTATAGAATGATATCCCATTCTATTAACATAGCATTCTTCTTCTCTAGATGGTGACTGAATTTGAATATGTGTCCCATCTATGACACCAATAACATTTGGGAAATTTGCAACTTCGTAAAAATCCCTTTTTACAGTTTTTATTTCCTCTATTGAAGTAGGAAACTTGATCAATCTTTTCCTTAGGTCAGATTCAAATATAGCATCAACAACTTGAGTTATAACTCTTGAAACTGTGGGTTGAGAAACTCCATGCACATCTGCATAATTAAGCTGTATAGAACCTGAAGCTAAGTATCTCAATGTTATTAAGATCTTATGCAGTGCACTCAAACTATGATTTCTTTTAGTGTTCGGTTCAATTACATGCGACAACTCTTTACTTAAAAAAAGAATCCCATTTTTGTTCAATCTATACCTCTGCAGAATTTCAAAGTCTGAAAGGTCTTCCAATATATCAGGTCTTGGATTAAAATGTCGTCTTGCCATTATCTGTAATAAAAAAAAGACTTGAATAAAAAAAGATGTAAGGGCAATCAAAGATATTTATTTAGAACTAAAAACTATTTAAATGCAATTTTTAATACAGTTTCATTACTTTCTGTTCAATTTATAAATATAAAAGACAGTGGAAAATAGTTAAAATGATTTTTGTTAAAAAGCCAATTCCAAGTGTTTAATAAACATAAGAGTCAATTTATACTAAATTATCAAACAATTACTGGAAAATAATAGTAACACTCACCTCATGTATACTTCTATGATGTTTTACATGCTTATATCAAGTAAGCATTGCTATTGAAGTTAATTGTTACTTTTGTTATTGTTATATTTGAATATCCTTAATAAAAACATTATCAGTCAGACATATTTGTCCTGATAATAGCTGTTCATGTATCCATTATAAGCTCACATGAGCATAAATTATTCATATGTTAGCTTCTTTTATGACATGATGTCTGTTGACAGTCAATGATTTATGTCAACAAAATATTTTCTCACAGAACAGATTTTAACAAAGTTCAACTGAAATCATTCTCTACAAATTTACATAAAATGTTTTTTTAAGAAGGGCACAAGTACTAAAATGGATCTATTCTAAAATTGATATAGTCTTGTTTTAATAGATTTCATGCGTGCAAGCTCTTAAACACAATTGTTATATGGCCACCACTAAGTGGAGCATTATACTTTGGTCATGGTTCAATGATTTTTGTCAGAGTTATGCCCCTTTTACTTTGAAAAAAATTTTCAGTTCCCATTCATTATCTCCCTAACGGTTGTACATATTCAACTGAAATTAAAGATATGGATATGTCATATGAATGCATTGGTCAATTTCGAATTTAAGTCATGGTTTGATGATAGCTGACAGAGTTATCCCTCTTGAACTTTGAAAAAAAAATCAGAAATTTGAAGTTTCCGTTCATTATCTCCCTAATGGTTGTACACATTCAACTCAAATTTGACATGTAGATACATCTTAGGGATAAGCAGTTCAAGTTTCAATTTTGTTGTGGTTCAATGATTTTGAACAAAGTTATCTTTCTTGAATATTGGAAAAAAAATTGAATTTGCAGTTTCAGCACTCATACCTTTGTGGAAATGTATGTAGCCATTATTTTAGCTACAAATATGCAATATGCAATTTACAAAAGGTTAACACTGAATAGTTTCAGTGCCTTGAACTTTGTATAAAAATGGTTTGTGTTAACATTGAATAGTTTTAAGGGCTTTGAACTTAAAATGAAAAAAATGAATTTGTGCAAACAAATTTGGAAATAAATATTATAACATCTGAAATTTTTTCTGCATGCGGGGACATCCATGGCACGATGACACATTTCTAGATAATGATGATGTTACCCCAAAAATTTAATGGGGTCATGTATTGAATATGACTGGTCATCTTATGAAATTTTACAGCAATAGGTTGATCAATACTCTAGTAATTTAGAGGAAACCATTTTCAGTTTTAAGGTAATAGTTACCTTGACCTTTGACCCAATTAATCAAAAGAGCTCTTCCACTCAATATTAACAATCATTATATGAAATTTCTTGACCATGGGCCAAATTCAACTTAACTTATACTTAAGCCAATTTGCTAATGGAAGAACAGACAGAAGCTATGGAGTGTAACATAAAATGCCCAAAATTTCTTCATGCCACATTCAGTACCATTCCTTTGTTTATGAAAAAACAAAGTCTCAGCTGTAACCACTAAAAATGCAATGCATTGAAGATAAATATGGAAACAAATCAGAAGCAATTTAGCTAATATCAGGTACAGCAGCGTTTATTTCTTGATGCTGATTGATAAAATCACTGTTTGGGATATATTATTTCTTAAATATATCAGGGTTCGTACAGTCTTAAAAAGTGCTTAAATTTGAGTCCTTTTCTTAAAAAGTGCTTAAATTTGTAAAAAAGTGCTTAAAAGTCCTTGAATTTGATTACTGTCTTGAAAAGTACTTAAAAAGTGCTTAAATTTGCTAAAAATGTGCTTGAAAAATATTGAATGACAGAATAGATAAAAGTCAATAGTTAAGAAAATCAAAAGAATGATCAAATTTAATATCAAAATCAATGAAATGTTTGCTCAATGTAATAGTAAGTGGACAAATTGCAGTTGTTTTGAACTAATTGTTTTTTATGCGCCCTTTATTATTCTTCTATAAAAACCTTAAAATTGTGGCCAGGAAAATGTGTATTCAACAAAAATGGCGAATTAACTATCCTTTTAAAGTTGAAGATTGAAGATCTTATTTTCCCTATTTCACAGTGATCAACCATGAATACATACAAATAGATAAATACAGAATCCCTAAAGAAAGCCCAACACGGCAAAATTGTCATTATAATCATGATCAACATCCATACCAAATATGAAGACTGTGGGTCAAATGAATCATAAGTTAATGGGTAGACAAACTTTTTGAAGTCAAAGTCCCTATGACCTTGACCTTTGATCCAGTGACCTCAAAATCAAAAGGGGTCATCTACTAATCATGATCAACATCCATGCCAAATATGAAGACTGTGGGTCAAAGGAATCATAAGTTATTGGGCAGACAAAGTTTTTGAAGTCAAAGTCCCTGTGACCTTGACCTTTGACCTCAAAATCAATAGGGGTCATCTACTAATCATGACTAACCTCCATGCCAAATATGAAGACTGTAGGTCAAAGGAATCTTAAGTTATTGGGCGAACAAGCTTTTTGAAGTCAAGGCCCCTGTGACCTTGACCTTTGACCTAGTGACCTCCAAATCAATAGGGGTCATCTAATAATCATGACTAACCTCCATGCCAAATATGAAGACTAAGGGTCAAAGGAATCTTAAGATATTGGGCGGACAAGAAAAAACCGACGGACGGACAACCGGACGGACGGACAAGCTGATTCCAGTATACCCCCCTTACAACTTTGTTGTGCGGGGGTATAAACAGCAGGCAACATATCCTAAGGGTGATTCAGATTTATTCAAGTAGGAATATTGGAACCACCGAACTAGAAAATGCCGAAAAGTTGAAACTAATATAACCACAAACAGAACAATAATGTCGTGCTGAACGATCTTCAAGGATCAAAAATATAACATCTTTGATTAAATGTACGGGGAGACGTTTTACAGCCGCCACACGGCACAAATAACACGGATGTGATCATAAAATAGATAAATACAGAATCCCTAAACAAAGCCCAACACGGCAAAATTGAAAATGTTGCAGGCTCGGTTTGATTGAGCCTGTTCATGGACGGTACTGGAAAGTGCAAGTTACCGTCCACACCCCCTGGCACCGGCTTAAGCAGAATTCAACATTTAAACATGAAATAGTAAAATTTTGAATTTAGAATCATCCGCAGATGTGTTCATTCGGCGGTTATCATGGAACCTTCAATGTGACACTTCCGTGCCATTCCATGAAAAGCGGCGTATGGTCCCCAAGTAATAAAAGCGTGTGCCCTAGACGAGAAAACAATGGGCGGAACTAAATAAAATGGAATTTTGAAAGGGGATCAGAGGTTATGAAGCCTGCGTATCACAGATAAGACGCCAAAAGACAAATTTAAAAAGCAGGCAACATATCCTAAGGGTGATTCAACATTATTCAAGTAGGAATATTGGAACCACCCAACTACAAAATGCCGAAATTGGAAACTAATATTACCACAAACAGAACAATAATGTCGTGCTGAACGATCTTCAAGGATCGAAATTATAACATATAAGATCAATCAAAATTAATAAAGCGAACAAAAGTATTTTCATGATAGAAAATAATAAAAAGTTTGAAAATCACGTCCTGTTCATGTTTGGGGTCCGCCTGGGCTCCTTGCCAGTGATGCTTGTTGCTAGGTCGTATGGGGTTACGTGCATTGAACACCGCCTTTCCTTGTTGATCTTGTTTATCATATCTTAAATAATGCTACTTTGCTTTTTTTATAAGCAAACACTCTGTTTCTATACAATGAAAGCATTTGAAGGTTCTTCATAAAACACACATTGATATATGTCATATCATACAAGGAAACTTGATTACAATTGAACGCTGTATGGAAAATATTGTTGGCAGCAATTTTGTTTATACAAAACACATTTATAAAGTCGATATTTCCAATGTATTTCATTGAAATCGGCTAAGATATGACGAATTTGGAAGCAAATTTTCAATATTTAATTTTCATAATTTTATTAAATGGTCAGTCACATTAGGATATGTGTTAATTGTTCTTGTGTTTTAACCGCCAAAAATGTACTCATCATAGTCAACCTTAAGTGGTGTGAATGATACCCTTACTGCCATCTATCAATATAAGTTTTATTAATTAGTTTTAGTACTTGTTTTTGCTAGGGACGTAAGGATGTTGCACTTGATCATTATCCCTCAAAAACAAACTCAATCAACGTAGTTTGCAATTTCATGTAATTTTACTGTTGAAAATGTTCCCCATGAATCCTTTTTTCCAGATATTTATAAAATACATCACAAGGATGTGTGGTAACCGTAAAAATTTTCCCGAAATTAATTTTCTTGTAGTTAATTTTTTTTGCCCTGCCGGACTTAAAAGTGTTGAGAAGTGAATACAGCTCAAGCCGGGTGCTAGGGGGCGTGAACGATGTTTCCTTGTTTATCAAATTTGATCCTCACAACCGTGTTGTTTGTGTTGTGTGGCGACTCCCCGTACATATAATTAATGTTGTTATATTTTCATCAAGGGATTGGTCGACGGTCAGTGTTTGTGTCCCCCTCCATGTTAAGTCTTCAGTGTTGTTATATTTTCTGGTCCTTCGGGATCATTGATGCCAGCACTATTAAGTGTTGAGAATTGAGTACCGCTCAAGCCGGTGCTAGAGGGCGTGTGGGATGTTGCACTTATTCCTTATCCCTCATGTACAGCCTCAACCAAACCGAGTCTGCATTTCTCTTGTTATTTTGTTGCGATTAATGCTTCCGAGGGATCACTTTGTTTCCAGAATTCTCATTGAACGCCGCCATTTCCCTGTTGATCTTGTTTATCATATTTTACAAGTTTTCATTGAACATACGCAATCAAACAGGGTCTGAAATGTTCATGGATTTTGCTGTATTTAATGCTTTCTTTCGATACTGTTAAGCAATAAAATATTCATTGTAACTTTTTTTTTATTTTAGAATATAAATATTTGTTGGGTAAAGCATACAAAATGCGAATCATTTTCTGATAAATAAGTCATCTCGAAGTGAATTAGTAAAAGCGCCGTAAAACCAAACATGAGTTATATAATGTAGTATCGAAATTAGAACAACAAAAACAGTTACAAGAAAGGTGATGAAACATACCGATTACGCACAGACCATTACTGAATTGTCATAAATATTTTATTTACAGTATAACAGGCCTCGACACTAACTTTTTTAGCAGGTGGTACGCCGGACCACTAGATTTGAAAGTTAGGTAGTCCTTCCAGAAGTCAGGTGGTCAGTTATCATTATTATATCTTTTTACTGCAAATGTAGAAAAAAAATGTTTAACTTTTATGACAAAGATGTATTATTAATCTTTAAAGAAAAAAGATATTTTTAGATATATATTTTTCATCTAATCAGAAAAGGGAGAACAAGTCAGTACTTATTTTTATCGTAGAGTTATTTGTTTATTTGTTTTTATCTCAGTCAAAAATACACAACAGAGCTTTTATTTATGTTAACTTTTATATTAAAGTGATTTCTCTCTCAACTCAAGTTAGGGAATAGTGAAGCCATTTGTGTCTGTTATTTTCTTACTGTTATTCAAATATTCATTGCTGATACGCGGTACTTCTTATAATCATGATAATAACATAGCATCTTTTACAGATTAACATTTTTAATTGAACTAATAAATTATCTTATTTCTGTCTTTGAAAACATGGAAATATCTAAATTATTTAAATAATGACAACGTTATAATTTACTACAACTTATCTTATTTTTCCCACAGATTTTTAATACAGAATTTTGCCTCCCTGTTGCTTGTTGGTTGATATTCATTTTTGACATTGGGTATTTTTTAAATTTTAAAATAATTT